CTGATGCTTAACTTTCTTGAATTAATCTCATTAGAAGTCCACATTATATATGTTGCTCGAAAGATGCAGAGATTTTTAGATGAAACGTTTTCACGCCTCTTGTGAACGCCTCACAAAACGTGAAAAACATTTTGTGAAGAATACACTTCTTACTGACACTTATTCTTTTTTAAAAGTCTCTTTTTTTCAGCTGGCATAACCCAAGCCACTCTATTGATAACTTCTAAAAATGGTTTTCTGAATTTCTTTTTTCTAATTCCATAAATTGCAGTCTTCCTTTCTCTTGTGATTTTTGAACAAACAGTTACAACCTTTTGATTCTTTGAAATCCCTGCCATCCGTTTCTGTTTTGATAAATTGTACATCTCGTCCTATTTTCAAAGTCATCAGCGATTGCGTTTTTGCCACTCAGAGCACTGAACATGGACAGCTTTTAAAGGTAGTGAGTAGGTCTGATAAGTGGCTCAATCCTTGTACTAAAGCATTTTTACTGAAGGTTTAATAGCCACTGTATAATGAATTATAATGTATTCTCTCCGATTGCAAATTTCCTCTAATACAGCCCTTCTGCTGTAGTGGAAAAAGTCCATCTGAATATTATTGTGACCAGCTTTTTAATAATACAAATCAATTGCATGATTTTAAGTAGTTAGACTCATACTTTTGTTGTAAATTTTCCCCCCAATGCCAAATGGAGTGGTGCTTGTATAATTGGAATAGCTAACCAATTTCAAAGCAGAGACATTTTTCATCCCAAAAATGATTTGCTGTGTTTGTGGTACATCATGGTCAGCTCTAAGTCAACTGTATGTGTTAGTATAAAATACAGTCGAACATTTCAGCCTAGTTTGAACACATTGAAAAGCAATAGGCTTATGAATCATCTTGCTGTTCCAATTTAATGGAACATACCTTTCAATGACAGCGTGTACCAGCACATCATCAAAGTGAAACTTCCAAAGTTCCGCTTAACTTGTTGCTGAAATAGTTTCTCGTTTTCAAGAAAATTGCAGTGTGCCAAGTCTCCAGAAGTGTATCAGGGAATCTTCCTGAAGGAAAAATTGCCACTTGCATACTTGTCTTTGACCGAAGTGAAGCCCTCACCCACTCCAGGGGGAACATGTGCTGTTTAGGAAGATATAAAGGAGTAATTTTATTACTCGGTACATCTCCCCCTCAGAAGCCATTTCATTTCTCCTTTCAGCCTCCACAGAAGCCTTTATTTGATCTCATATTCCCGAGTATGACTGCCTCAAACCAGTCAGACTCCGTTTATTTTCATTTGGAAAACACATTTAGCGTTGAAGGGATGGCAAAGGATTTAAGTGAAGAGCAGGGGGTTCTGGTGTGGAAGGGACTGAGGCGAGTTTCTCTATCACATGTTAATGTTCTCCTGCAGGGATTGTTGGGAGCCAAACTTTAGATTTTTCTTTCCCGCAGTTTCTAGCGGTGTGACTGCTTTCAGCGTCATCACGAATAAGCTTTCAAACATTACCACTTCTAGTCTCCGCACAAATACTTCCCTGCAAATAGCTGCTAAGTTTGCATCCATACAGTGAAATTGATACAGCTGGATACCCTTTACTCAGTGCTTTGAAATTGCAGATCATTGAAAAAGTGTGCCATTTATTAGGCAGCCCACTTAGGCAGCCCAGATGTAGCTGGTCACTTGAGAGGGAGACTTCCTCATAAACTCTGAGCCTTTACAGCGGGCACAACACCCAACGGTGGAGTCAAAATTAACCCGCAACCTTCCCTCAACTCCACATACTTGGCTAAATCCTGAGCCAGTGCAGCTGTCTGGAGGAGCCTGCACCTTATACACACAATTCCTAAAAAAACTCTCCCCCTCTTCCTCATTTATCAGTGTTTCGGTCTGTCTCTCTGTCTGTGCCTGCAGCACCTATATCCTCTCCAGCCTGTGTCTGGTGACAGCATAATGAAAACATTTTTGTGAGAAGTGTCGTTTCAGTGCTCCGGAAGTCCCACTCACCTAAATAGTTCCTTCTCTATGTCTTGTCTGTCTTTTTTTGTATTTTTTTTTTTGTGCGTGTGGGCGAGTGGGGGGGTATTATAGCCTCCACTGGGCTCAGTTCCACACATTGAATTACCTCCAGATGTAATTCCTACTCCCCCCCCAACCCCTTCACCCTCAAATTAGTGGCTAGTAAAAATTAGGTTTGAATTAGCCGTGGTGTGGAGAATATGAGAGTTTTAAGTTTTCCATATAATGAGTTTATTATTCTTTGCTAGAATGCCATTTTCCTGAATTAATTTGATCAGGTCTTTTTTTTTAAAGGTGTAATTGGTATCAAGTCGAATGGTGTTTTAGTCATGAATGGATAGCCACTATGTCAGCAGTGAACCCAGAAGGCTGAGGTAATCGGAGGTCTGCTTAAAAGCTCCACGTCACAACAGCTTCTGGGGATTATTCCCAAAAGTTTCCCTGTTATCTAATTCACGGTCAGCATCTAATTTTTCATCCGGCATGAAAGCATTTTTTATTGCTACTTGTGAGTGCATTGATGGGATTCCTTGGATGTTAGATAGCGGGTTGTTGCATAGCATATACAGGTGTTGTGCTCTTTTGACTGCCAGTGAAGCTTGTCTCTTTGCCATTCAACTGTGTAGCCGTGGTTCTGGGAATGATAATCTCTTTGGCAGAGCTGGAGCTGTGGGATCCTCAGACACTACAGATCACTGTCATAAATGGGTTTCAGATTCATCCTCTAACAGGAAATCTGAATGCATGAGACGACTATTGAATCCCCCCCTCGCCTTTTTTTCTTTTTGGCCGTTGCTTTAGCTTGATGACATCTCAGTGGCCAAGAAGATAAAAAAACAAAAAAACCACAACAACTCAGTAGCATGTACTTTTCTCCTAGTAGGAATCTAATTAAACCGTAGCTGCCTTTTACTATATGATCATATCTACTGCTGTGAAAAAAGAGAAGTTGTCTTCCATGCTCTATTCTTTCATCTCCTTCCAATCTGCTGTATAACAGGTAAACTGCTGTGAGCTGCACTTGCTTGTTTAAATTTATCCATCTCAGCTGAGCCTTTGATTTCAGCAACTCGTTTAATTCAAATATGTTTTTGAAGAAAAGCAATTTTTCTTTCTTTCTTTTTTTTAGAATTGGGGTGGGCATCGGAGGCAGCTGCGGTGGTGGGGGAAAATAAGAGGAGGCACTGGAGGGCCAATTTAACCTGGAGTGTCTGTCGCTAGTCTACCAGCTCCTTCGCTTCAAGAGGCCCAGTTAGCTTGAACTGTCTGACTTCTGTCATTTCGATCTCTTTTTATTTTTCTGCTGTAATGTATACTTTAATTCCCGCCCACCTGCCGTCTGTGTGTAGCTACGGCGTCGGCAGAAGCAGCTGGAGGGGAGGTGCAGGTATCATTAAGCCTTTGAGAGGCACCAGCGAACAGTGCAGAGTGCTATACGTGGCTCCTTGCAGCGCGTGTTGATATTTTTGGGCCCAGTGAATGCACAGCCTAGTTTATTTTCAATAGAAGCGATGGCTGGGTTTGGGCAGAGTGTCCCCTCCAGCTGCTTACTCGGGCTGTTGATATTGAGTCAAGCAAACACTCTCTCAGGGATGTCCTGTTGGGCACTCGGCCAGAGTTGCAAATGGAAGTCACATGTGGAGAATCCCAGAGGAAGGCGAAGAGGCCTTAATTCACACACATTACCAATAATAATCAACTGTGGCAGTACTGGTCTTACTGGAAGCAAAGCCTTTCATTAATCACTGATTTAAAAATGTTGTATTTCTTACAATAGCAGCAAACAAACAAAAGTCAACATATTTATTATGATTATTACTATGATTGCAACAATCGGGGACCCCTCCACCCCCATTGACTTCTCTTGTGTTTTTTTTTTCTTTTTCTTTTTTGGCTTTCAAACACATATGCAAATATATTTGGACACTGTCATTATCATCCACTTAATAGGCATTTCATGAGGGATTTTCTGAATGCACGGTGCAGGGCAAGTTGCCATGGATACCCCGGTGCTTAAGTACAGTATATTAAAATGGTGCTGCCTTCCAACCACTTATATAATCACCGGTCTGTAATGGTCTTTGCTCTGTGGCCATAAGCAACATATCATGTGATCAGCATTGACCAGGACTAGTAAGAGCCCTACCCCCTCATTATGCCTTATTTGGCTTATTCATTTCATTCTTTGTAGGCAGGACTTAGTGGAACAGGAATTATGCTTGTGGAACATTTATGTGACAACTTATGAAAGGACCTTGTGTGTGTGTGTGTGTGTGTGTGACATGAATTTATTTCCAAAAATGGGAAAATTAAAAGAGGACATTTTAAACCTTATATTGAAAAGTCAGGATTATTGACCCCATATTACACGTGTATATAAAAATAACATTTTTTTTTTTCAATACAAGTGTAACATATGTATAATATAAATAGAAACTTGAGTTAACCATAAAGTCATAAATGCAATTTAAGGGCTCATCACCATCCCTGCTTAATTTATTTCCTCTGTGACAGTAAAATGTGTTTATAAAAGCCTTTACAGTCTCCTGCAAGTTCAATCTTGGCTGAGCACTTTCAGTGTCAAGTTGGAAGAATGTGCTTTGAGTAAACCAAAGTATTAAGACAAGCAAATCTTTTTACCTCTCTCTAAAAAAAGATTTTCAGAGGACTGACATATGAAAACCTTTATTTTTTAAATGCAAAGCTTTTCCTCTCCATAGTGGTGTAGAACTCAAAAGTTATTTATTTTTAAGCCAACAATTCCTGCAGTGGTAAGGCTGCCCTAGCTAGTGTGCTAGGTGATGAATAATGACGGGTGCTCTACCAATTGTTCCAGGTGGCGCTAAATTTCTGGGAAGTAAGACAACATAAATAGACTTACTGAAAGGTTTGAGAGAAATATACCTATATTACACTTGTAATCTCTGAGAAATCTTTGTGCTTGCCTTTTGTCCTATTTTTTTTTAATTTAAAAATTAGTGCATTATTTTGTAAATTCAATACATTTAGGCTAATACCTGTTAATAAAATTATAGCTGAAGATTGGCTCCTAGTAGCTGACCTTACAGCAGTGCATGTGCTTTTCAAGGCACACTTGACTTTGTCCCCAGTGCCAGTGTAGCTTTAATTAAAATAGTAGTGGTGTGTTTGTGTGCCTATAAACTATGGAAATTATAGCAGTGCTGGGAGATGGGAAGCATTTATTGCTATCATCAGTGTGGAGTTTGAGTGCGTTTCAGATCCACTGCTCCTCCACTGCTGCTGCTTTTGCCGAGGTTGGTAACCAGCTGCTGCCACCATCGCCCCTCCCCACTGTACCCACTACACATGTCTATCTATCCATCTCCCCCATTTTCTCCCTCTTTCCCCTCTCACTGTTCTTCTGCCACCACATCAAGACGCTGGTGGGCCTGTTTGTCTCTGTTGACCTTGGCAGCAGAAAGCACTGGAAGAAGAGACGTGGGGAACAAATACCTGAAGGGAGAAGGCACAGAATTGTCACAGAAGTGTAGAAACAGGCATAGCATTCCCCCTAGTGAGGCAAATGTTTCTAAGGCCAGGGGCCTCGTGTTTGTCTTTTCCAGTGGGGCACTCTGAGTAGTTTATTAAAGGGGCTGAAGGAGCTTTCTAGCCTGAAGCCCTTAGCGCTGAAAGAGAAATGGGAGAAATTACTGGCATAATGTGGATGCTTAGAGCAATTAACAGCAGTTGTTTAATGTTAGCCCCTTTTGACTCTCTCCGTCGCTGTCTCTTTTTTTTTTTCTCTCTTGCTTGCTTTTCCACTCTTGTCATCTCTCTTTCTCTCGCCTGCTTCAGCTCCCACGGTCTCTTTCAGCCTGTCATGATTGTTTGGTGTTTACCTTTCCTGGCTCAGAGCTCAGACAGTTGACACTAATGAAAATGCTACCTTTTTTTTTTTTTTGGTCTGTGTTTGTCTCTTAATAATGATATCATACAGCTAAAATATGCTCCAACAGAGCCGGGGAGATAATGTGCTATTCAGAGGCTGTTAAATTATACCAGTGCGCCGCTCTGAGCTGTGAGTTCAAGTGGTCTTTACCCCGCGTTGGGGGCTGCATCTTTGCCTAAATAAATCTGTCATAGTTGCCCCGGGTGCCGCTCTTTAAAACAGAAGATTCTTGCACTCCCTATAACCTCTTGCGGCTGCCTGTATGCTCGCACATGTGTGTGTCCGTTAGTGTGAATTTAATTTTAAAGTTGCATCTGTGCCAGATTTAGATGTGTATTTGTGTTTGATTATGTGGCACAAACTTACATAGGCAAAGGAATAAATAAAAGTCCTCTCTTGTATTAAATCTCTCTGGCCCATGTGGCACTGCAAGCTGGTGGCAGATGGACTAGCTTTCGGCATCTGTTGTGTGCAGACTGGGGGCTTTGTACTCCTCTCTCCTGGGGAAGACCGAGCCTTTCTTCTTGCCAGTAGATTCCTGTCTGTTGGAGCGACTAAGAAAAACATCTGTGGCATGCAACGGAGAGGGAGGGAGAAAAAGGGGAGAGAAAGAGGAGGAAAAAAATTGACAAAAAGATTGGCAAACACCATTAGCCCTAAATGTTCCGTCTCATTGCCTGTTGTGCGTTGTTTACAATGGGGGAAACACGTCAATACATCACACGCAGCACATCTGATCCCAGCCGAGACTCGTTCAGCTCGTTTCAGCTTTTGTCAGCGTCTTTAGCCGGCGATAGGGATTGGCAGCTTTTGCACTTCTAGTAATAGATACTGACCTAATTCATTAGGCTTCAAATATGTGAATGTAACATTTGTACAAGCACATTTTCTCCTTTTATCAAGTAGTAAACCAAGCCTTTAAACATTCTGGCTGAGGGAGAAAAGCTGTGAAATGTTTGTCAGCTTGTGTGTTAATTTTTTTTTCTTTTTTCTCTCTGTATATCTTTTTATATTTCTTCCTTCCCTTCCCGTAACTGTTTTGTTTGGCCAATCATTTACATTTAAAAATACCTTTTGTTAAGGTATTTATAACAGTTTTAATGATCATCTTAGAAAAATAGTAAGCAAGCATTCGGCATGTGGCGGTCTCGCCAGTTTTCAACCTTTTGTCGTCTCCCTCCCCTCTCAGATTCCTCCAGTA